TGTGTGTGTGTGTGTGTGTGTGTGTGTGTGTGTGTGTGAGAGAGAGTGAGTATGTGTTTGTGCATAAGAATCCTTTTTTTTTTTTTTTTGAGCTGAGATAAAACTTCTTGTAGAATATAAGCCATTGGAACTAGATATAATTTTTGGAGTAGAAATACAGGCGATCACCATCATAAATGTCTTGAACTTCATCAGTTGATAGAAATTCAACAGGCAAAAAGTCCAACCCAGGATGAAAGAAACCCAGGCAAATCGCGTTGGAGGGACCTGAGCAGAATGGACAAGCTAACATATAGATGGGTAAAGAAATAAATTATCGCTACATTGATGCAACAGTGGGAATACAGTTAAGACTGAGCACTCTGACAGCTATTGACTGATCTGAGCCCAGGGGAATCCACTACCAACCATTGATGATATTTCCGCCCCCAGTTGGCAGCCAAAGTTCATTTTGAGTTGATCAAATCACCAGGAGAGGAGTTGAGGCTGTCATGTTTGTCTTCTCGTTTGCTTGTTATTCTGCAGTTTTATCTCTCCTGTTTTGTCATAATGCTCATCACTTCACTGCTTTCATTCCTCCCCAACTCCCTCTCTCTCACTTTTCCCCCTCCCCCAATGTTGATTTGTTTTGGCTAAACTCATTATTTGTGTATTAGCTATCAGTTTATGGTTTAAATCTCTCTCTCTCTCTCTCTCTCTCTCTCTCTCTCTCTCTCTTTCGTCCTTATAATATTATATTATTGTATTATTTTTCCCATTTCTTTACTATGATACAGGCCATGAATGTCATGCTCTGTTTGTTTTGGGGCAAATCAGAAATGACAAACCTACGGCACATTTACGTCATACTAAATAAAAAAAAAGGAATTTTTTCTTGCTGCTTCATCCCTAAGTTATAATTTTCCATCCTAACTTTAAGTAAACAATTGTGGTTTATAATCTAGCGTTAGAGAAGGAACAGTTGCTATTATTGTTAAATATTGTAATACAAGGCACGTCCACCCATTATTTCACATAGACACAGTAATTCTGGAGATTTTTAGACTGACTAATAAATTGATTTTATCAACACTTATCTAAAAATAAATAAAAAAGACATTACTAAAGGATATTTGTTTTACGCTCAATTTTTCAAAATACTGATGATCTTCAATTATAATCACCATGGAAATAAAACATAGTATGTGTAATTGCTAAGATGTAGCTAAGTGCATTTGATGTAATATATAACCCATGTATATATACATTTTACTTTTTGGCACAAAACCAACTATTTTATCAAATCCTGAAACAAGATTTTGAAGTCGTAATAGTAAAATATTATTTGGCTGTTGTGTGTGTGTGATTTGTGTTATTAGTGGTTTGTTGATGTTCTACATTTTTATCCAGTTATTACTACATTTTACGCCAGGAATAAACTCAGCCAGTGCCACTCTGAATATGATTTTGGTGTCTTGTGTTGACTTATGCATACAACAAGTGTGCCTGAGTACTGCATTAATATTTTAAAACTATTTTATTAATTGACTTTCAGTTTTCTCATTAATTCACATACTGGACTGAAGTGTTCAACTAGAACCAGAATTGCACATTAAGATGATATCAATATTATCCTCTCTTGCACGGGCCAGATAAATATCAGAGAAGAGGCTTGCATTTTAATCTGTCATTTGGTTGTCAGATTGCATTTTAAAGTCATGAGTAATCTATTTTTAGTGGTATTATGCGTTAACAAACAAGACTACCATCCTTAAACTACAAGGACGTAATTTTAATCGGACTGGAAGGGCACCTCCTTATGTTTAAGCGACGTGCCAACAGAGAGAAGGGTGTTAGTGAATTGGAAGCTGTAACAAGAGGCAAGGTACATTTTAATTAGTTTTTTAATCAGATAGGTATTTGGTTTGTCAGGTGATAAGAAGAGGGGGTTATAGATTGCAAGTTGATGGTATAACTAGTGAAAGGGAAAAAAAAGGAGAAAAATAATACCATTGTCACTTTGGTATGGAGAAGACTGTAGCATTTTGATTTTACTTAGCAATACATGATTTTTCTGTGTACACGTTCTGGCTTAGGGTTTGAATATGTAACCAAGATAGATTAAAAGACGGAGATAAAGAATCCAGATTTAGCATTGATTGGGGGGGTTGATAAAGTATTTCCTGTCACCTGTTTGGCAAGGTCAGATTACAGGTAACTTCTGTAATTAGTACGTATACTGATCCAACAGAACTGCAGGAGCAACAGGTAGAACTGATATTGTTGATAAGTAGTTAAAAATACAGCAGGTTTATATTCATAATTGATAGAAACTTTGCGCTGTTAAAAACATGGAATTTATTTTAAAGTATATAATATAGGGATAGTATGTGTCTTGCCTACTGACATACATATACATGGATATCTCACTAATTTACTTAGCAATAGAAAGTAGGTTAGTTCTGTATGAGGATATATAATGGTGTAAAAACTTAAGTTTCCATAATGACGTATTTTGTAGGGAGTTAATCATTTTAGAGAAGGAATATTGGTAAATGCATGAAAGTAAAAAAAGAAGTTGGTCAAGTGCAATAGCAGAAGAGCACAAGTGGTCTATTTAGTAAAGGTGAAAGTACAGGTAAATATCGTGATAACTAAAGCACCTTAGGGCAGTAGTGCAGGCAAGTCAAATTTGTCAGTTTATGGGTAAAATATAGGTAAACACCATGATTATCTGAAGATCTTAGTCACAGCGTTGTAAGTAGTTGTCAGTTTTAACCATGTCTTGCAGATTAGAATATCCCATTTAATGTGGAGAGAAAAAGTTGAGAAAGACAAAGGAAGGTGTAGATGGAATGCAAGGAATGAAAGTCATGGATGTAAGAATTGCATGATTTACATTGTAAGAAGGTGGCTTGAGCATGGGGTATGACATGCAGCTTATTTGACTTCATATGGATGTTGGTTAACATAAAAGTAAAAAGTCCAGGAACACATACTTACGTACATGTGGGTGCGCACACATACACACACACACACATACACACATACACACACACACCTATACAGAGAGAGAGAGAGAGAGAGAGAGAGAGAGAGAGATGTTATTGTTGTTGTTATTATCCTTGTTATCACAATCATCTCATTTTCTTTCCATAAGTACACTGTCCGTCAGTAAATAAATAACTAAAACTTAATATGGTAGACAGTTTGAACCCAGTTTACTTTTGCACATTTATTTAATTCCTTGATGCTTACTTTGATGTGTTATTTTCAGGGACCAATCACCAGCCTAACAGTGGTTGAAGACTGTTGTCTAATGAGGTAATTCGGGAACTTAAACTGTGTTTAATATTAGTTGTGGCAGAGCCTGTTCTAGTAAATATAATTTTTTCAAAAGATTGGTACTAAGCTAACAGAAAATGTTACTGTATTTTCTCACTAAAATAAATCACAGTTAGATATTATGTATTTTTTAAAACAATTTGTTATTAGTAGTATTGATAAAAATGGTTTATATAATTCCAAATGGCATAGATTGGATTATGTCAAAAGTACTTTTGTTAGCAGCAGAAAATGATATCAGTTAAGAAAAAAGTGAATATTGGAAAATATTAATTGTATGAAATGTGTGAGTAATTTTCATGCAAATTTGGGATGCAGTAATTGAAAACAATTGAAGTGAGGGTGCATGCTGGTGAAAAGTACATATTTTTTGATGGAAAAAGATAAAATATTTTTTAATATGCAGGTTGCATAGGAAAACATACTCACTGTGAAGATAGTGTGTCATTTCATTTTTTATATTTTTCATGTTGATATTGTGTGCTGGATACAGATATGTATACATAGTGAGTAAGAAGGCCCTCATATCAATTGTTTTCATTTTTGCTTCAAACTGTTTTTTTTTAAAACATTTGCCTGTATTTCTAGGACATCTCTCTTTCTTTTTAGTTTAAATAGAATGATAGTGTGTTGGATATGGATGTGATAGAAATTTATTATTGTGTTAGATGTGACTTTCTAGCATGTAAATACCTGTCATTTATAGATATATTTATATTTATTTATAAACAGTCTTCGTTGCTTGCATTTTTTTAAAGTCCGTATGATCTCTGTGACATTGCGTTAGGAGTAATTGTGTTACATATCTGACAATGTGTTATAAGTGATGTGTCCGGTGTGGTGGCATTCAAAAGATGGTACAGTGACAGTAATACTTCCATTTGAAATTGTGTAAACCATGACACAGCATTCTGTAGTTTATTATACTGTGTATCATTAAAAGAATATCCAAAATATCTTGTTGTGTTAGGTGTGTTAGCCTGCTTGATGTGACAATAAGTTGGACTTGGCTTTAAAAATCTTATTTTCATGCCTTTTTGGTCACGCCCTGCTTATATTAGTATCCAAGCACTTGAAGACCCAGGCAAGAAGGATTTTAGTTGCCATCTCCGTGTACACTTGCTGGTCCAGGTTTGAATGTAATCCAACGTGTATATAGTGTAAACATGCTTTGAATTCACAAAACTTGTTTACTACCATAAATGTTAGGTGTATTGGCCTTCTGAAAACTCTCAGAAGTATATATCATATTTTTGCCTTGTTTCTGTTATCCTTTGGGGAGACAGCATAGAAATATAAGTTAGTTTTAACATCATTGACCAAGCATTGAGGTAGGAAATCTCTCAGTTAAATGAGGTTTGAAATCCCAGACCAGGCAGTTACATCAACTAGTGGGGTTTCTCGAAAACTAATGCATCTTACTGTTCGACAGTTTGGGCATGTTCACGAACTCCAGGATTCAGATGATGCCAGTCCTGCTACTGTCCCAAGTTCGTGTTCACACAGCTCACTAAATTAAAGCATGCTAGTTCCAGTAATCAGAGCAGTTATCTGAATTCTCCACCATGTGGTAATGATACTTTTTTTCTACAAATTTTTCCAGGTTCAGCATTCTCAAATGAAGTGTCCTGATGAACAATGAACAATCTTTCTAAATATTTATGCAATAAAACTAAGAAAGTGGTGGTGGTTGATTTTAACCACTATGTGTTTCCTTATAATTACATGCAGTAGATATGCTGGGAGAGTCTCCGTTAAATCACTTTCATAATGGCAATGTTAACATTAGGATAATTAGGCATGCTAGCTAAATAATGGGCTAGTTTGTATTCCTTGTGTAATGCTATTATTGCTGTCTTGATGAGTGAAGGCAGTCATAGGAAGGAAATGCTTTTACGTTGTATTTTGGTTTTTGCTTGTATGTGAACAGAAATTAAGGGTTGTGGGTGGCAAAAATATCTTTGGGGTTTTATGTTTTAAACTGATAAAAATCTTTAGATGAAATATATTTTGTGGTGCAAAATGGTGAAGCTGTCTGATTTAGATTATTTGATATGATGTATAGCAATTATTCAAAAATGCCAGATACCTGACTTATTTGTCTCTTTTATTCCAAGAATGTATCTTTCGGCAAGTCACTTGTCATCTTTTGTAGGCATCTGTAACAAAACACTGTTTTGGGATATAATATTATTTTTTTAATAATTTTAATGAGTTATTGTTATAGTTTATGCTTTTGCTGAATGGGAGAAAAATTCGGGTCTTTGTGCATTGAGTATTTAGGTTTTAAAGTAAATGTGGAAGTAGGGTGGATGTGGGGGAGAACATTTCTTAAGAATAAGACATGTCATTTTTACTCACCTTAAATAAAAAAAATAAAATTATATATATATATATATATATATATATATATATATATATATATATATATATATATATATATATATATATATATATATATATATGTTATTGTATACAATATACACGTAATTGTAGGTACATTTTGCCATAGTTATCCTAATAATTCATGAAATATGCACAAGTATAAAGTCATCAGGCTGCCAAGACCAGAGTTTGAGATAATATGAAAAATGTTTAGTATTTTCTCTGTGGAGTTTTACGCAAAGGTCATCTCATGCGAGCAGTCCCTCGCGGAGAGTTTAGAATAATACAGTCCCAGAATTTATTGATCAGAAATGATAAAAATTTGAGCTGATGAATGTCAAATCAATTTATATATTTCTCCTTTTGCTATGAAATTAGAACTCTCTCTCTCTCTCTCTCTCTCTCTCATGCACACACTTTTGCATGGTTGCGAACAGACAAACCGTGCTTTATAAGCATTTCAATTGAAATTACAGCTCTCTGAGCTTAGAGCTCTCCGTTATTGCAGGACATTTGTTGGATTAATCATTCGATAATCTTTCCCTGAATAGTAAATCATCTCTCCTACCATGTCTTTGGCCTGTCTTTCCCTGTGACAACTTATTTAGGGATTACAAATGTGAAATCGATGCAAATAACATTGTATCAATATAGCTATTAAATCACCCATAAATGGATTACGTAGAATTTGATGTTATAGAAAGCACTGCAGAGAAATGCCATCATCAGATATTATTGCAGGATTGTTCTCTTCTCCCATCTTTGAGAGAGAGAGAGAGATGAATTGCTATTGTATTTTTCACTAAGATTTTTGGTTTAATTATTTGTACGTATAGTTGCACAACATTTTATGTAGTAATATCTGATAACAATCCTTTGTATATATATATTTATGTCTTGGAACATTAAGCAGCTTTTATTCCCTAACTAGAATGAGCATATTGA